TTTTTTTTTTTTTTTTTTTGGTACCAGGGATCAAACTCGGGTCCTTGCACTTGCGAGGCAGGCCACCAAACCACTGAGCTAAATCCCCGGCCCTGTTACTTGTTTTAATTCTTTTGCTTTAAAATTTAATATCTAATCTGTCTGTTTGTGGGGCAATAAATTTAGCACATTTTCACATACCTTTTGTGATAGCTGATTGTGTCAACTTGAGTGAGAAATGCCTACTGAATTGGATTGGCATGGCTCTGGGAGTGGCTGAAGGGATTTACTAAAGGCAGAAGACCTACCCTAGGTTTGAGTGAGAGCAACCAATAGGCTTGCCATTTGAATGGAATGAAAAGGAAAGGAAGAAGGAGGGCTAGCTTCTATTTTTCAGAGGAGTTCTGAAATTATCTGGTTTCCCCTGCAGCCTCCAGCACAGACCCTTCAGTCTTCCATCTCAGACCCTTCAACCTCTTGTTACTGACTTGCCCAGGACACTACAATGAGCTCCAAACCTTCAACTGGATTCTTCAGATCACCAATGCACAGACAGCACTTTCACACTTCTTCATACCCAGTTCTGCAGGTGGCTACTGTAAGCCAATCTTGTAAATTACATTTGTATTTCCTGCATTAAATCTGTTTCTCTAATAAGCACTGACAGATTTTGGTACCAGGAGTAGTTCTAGAGAAACAGAATCATATAGACGAAATTCTTTAATGGCTTTAGTGGTTCTTTGCATTGGCTTTCTAATTTGACGAGATCTAAAGATGCCATGTTCTCTCCTTTGATACCATGGGGAATATTGATAGTCCTTGGTATGAACTTGTACAAACCAGGCTACAAGTTTATTTTTTGACTGGGAGTGGGGACTAACAAAGATAAAAGACAAAAGACACAAAGACAATTTGGAATGAGGGGACCAGGTGGCTCCTTCCCACTCATGGACAGAGAGCTCTGAGCATTTGGCTCACTTTGCTTTTGTACATGGAGATATGGGAACAAGCAATTAGGTTAACAGAAAATTCATCTGCCTCTTCTTATCAATAGCATGTACCCAGATAAACATCCAAATCTCAATTGTAATGACTCTTCCCTGGAACATGCAACGTGCTAGCATGTCTGCACATTGCTGAAGGAGGCACAGCTTGCTGTTTTTCCTCTTTTGTGCTCACAGAGAAGGCCAATTAGGCCTCAATCTCCATTCTATGTTTTCCTACATGAACTGTTTAAAGTAATATGCATGGTAGATCTATTTGATTATCCCTATTCACCACTTGTGTGATACGAGGGATACAGCGACTCCATTATATGATAGTTTTGTATATTTGGGGCAATGTGGGAAATATGATGCTGGCTGATTGTGTCTCTGGATAAACTAATGAAGGACAACAATGAGCTCAAAACATCTATAGGAAATCTAAAGTCTTGTAATTGAGGACAAATTAATTAAAGGAAAATAAGGGGCTCAAAGATTCAAATTCCCAACTCCAGACACACATTAAGAATTTAAAAGTTTCTAAAAAAAAGAATTTAAAAGTTTCTGAATATATACTGAGAGAATCTCCTCTCCTTTAACCATAGGCCCAAGACTGCAGAAATCCAAACACAGACTCACATAATTCGATTGGTTGAAAGCATAAGTTTAATGCTCAGCCTTGAAAGACATCTAACATAAACGTGTGGGAACTGATTGGAAAAGAATGGGATTCCATAAACTGGGATGGATATGTTTGGGAGGATCCCGATGAAGCTGAGGATGTTGAGCTCCTGGACTCTAATGAGATTACTTTGTCAGAGGAAGAGATTTTCTCACCCAGGGTGGTGGAGGCACTCCCAACCCCATTCCCTCGGTGTATACCTGAGGAAACTATCCTGTGTTGACCAAGCATGATAATGCTGACACTCCTCAGGACCTAACCTCATCATCCACTTTTGCCTCTAGGCCTATAACCAGGCTCAAATCACAGAAGGCTCCTAAAGGTGAGGTACATAGTGTGACCTATGAGTAGGTCCACTATTCTTCCAAAGAACTTCCTGAGTTTTCTTACTCCTATAGGCAGAGGCCTGATGAATGAGTGTGGAAATGGATTTTATGGATGTGGGACAATGATGGCAAAAACACACTTGCATCAGTCTGGGTTTATTGATTCGGGCCCAGTAAACAGAGATTCTGAATTTAATGTTGCAGCTTGTGGAGTAAAATATGATGTTAACTGTTTATTTGGCTGGTTGGCAGAAGTATGGATCAAAAGATGGCCACCATGAGTGAGTTACGTAGCCTGATATTCCATGATTTTCTGTCATGTCATCTGAGAGAGGGAGGGAGGGAAGGAGAGAGAGAGAGAGATTTTGGTTAATACCAAGTTGCTTCAGGTTTTTTCCCTACAAGGGTTGAAATATAGGAGACTTATTTATCATGCTGCCTCAGATTGACTAGGCCCTTTTCAATTGGTGACTGCAATCACTTGTTTTTAGGAAAAACCTGTCCGGGAAATTTTTCTTCCTTAAAGTTTCAGCTTTATTGCATGCTACCTGGCCTGAAGGACTCCATTTTTATTTGATATATTGAGGAGTAATGCAGGCACTCAGTCCAAAGCAATGGCCTCCTATGAATTCTATTTACTATCCCTAAAAGTCCACTTTTAAAAAATAAAAGAAAGAAGAAAACACAGTATTATAAGTGGTAACCTAGGAGATGCATTGGGGAAATTAAATGGCCAGAGTAGAATGAAAAAGGGGGCTAACCAGACATTATGATTTATATCATAAGTTTCATAATTAAATGTGATGCTTGAGGTAGAGCCTGCTCAAGGAGGTGGTTTACTGGGGGCATGGTCTGAAAAGATGTATCTCCTCTACCTCTTCCCTTAAAACTCCCTGGTTTCCATCCACCATGCCCTGAGCAGCTCTACTCTGACTTGCCCCTCTGCCATGCTCCTCTGCCATGCCTTGGAACCAGCTGACTATGGTCTGAAACCTCTACAAAGTGTGAGCCAAAATAATCCTGTCCCCTTATTGAAATTGTGGGTGTCCTGTATTGTGTCCAAGTGATGAGTGACTAACACACCAAGTGAAAACCAGAGTCCTATAAATTTGTCTTCCCAGGAATTTTTCTAGGCTTTCTAGGCTTTCTGATTGCAAACTGTCTTACCTCCAGATATCTCAATGTACTTTCTTTCATAAAAGACATGATGAGTCTACATATTTAGGTTTTAATCTGAAAAAACCTGGCTTCCTGTCACCCCTGTGATAATGTATATAGTTAATATTATCCATGCATAGCAATAAATATAGAAGAATAATAATAAGCACCCTTGAGCTACAATCCAACATGGAATCATACCACATAATTTTAAGGAAAGGAATATGAAACAACTTCAAATAATTGTGCATTCACCTTGTAACTTATATAGGATTAAATATAATAGTATACCATTAAATAATGACTTTAAAAGATTTAGCTCTCTGTTATGATTTGTGTTTAGATGTCCCCTCAAAGCCTCATGCAGATAAGGTGGGACTTTCTTTTTCAGAGGTCCTTGAATCTGGAATGTGTGATGCTGGGGTAAAGGGCAGGTGATTACTGAACTAGATGTGAGTGAAAGGTTTGCGACCACCTTAATTGCGGTAGTCTGGATGGGATAAAAGAGGCAGAAAGACACGGTGAAGTGCTCTCTTGTTACCTTTGCTACCTTGTGCGCTCCATGTTGCTTCTGCTGTGCCATGCCTGTTTGGGCTCTCCGTCTTGGAGTGAGCCAATTACGGAATGAAACTTCTGTGAACTGTAAGCTAAACAAAACCCTTCCCTCCAGCTGTGGGTGTCAGGTATGTTGTCTCAGAAATGAGAGAAAAGTAACTAACACACTGTCTAATAAAAAAGGAAATCAGAAGTTAGTAAGGTAGCTCCATGATGATCAGGGATGCAGGATTATCTCACTTACTGTAACATTTGCAACATGGGCCTTTCTTTGCAAGATCCCTTTCTGCTCCAAGGTGGCTATAGAAGTTCCAACCTTCACTTCTGTATTCTAAGCAGCAGGAAAAGCTGGATAATTTCCTGGATAATTCACTAAACTATGTCTTCTTTTATCTCACTCACTACCCTTGCAAAATGGCTTGGAAATGTAGGCTTTTCATCTGGGTGTGTTTCTCTGGGATCTGTTATCAAGAAAGAAAAAAAGTATTAGTTACTGAGTTGGCACCCAGGAGTCTTACGCGATACACATGAGGCAGAAATGCTAGTAAATGTTGAAAAAAAGTTTATCGATACACAATATCATTCCTTCCCCACTCTTGACTCCATCCTTCATAACAAAAGAAGCTAGCCCAGTTGTACATGTTTACTGTGGTGTGTGTGACTATATTCATCATGAGGAGTTGGTACATGTACATGCCACTTCTCTCCCTCCCTCTTCTGCATCTCTTGGACATTCATAGTACATGACGACCACGTTGCTTTGTTGCATGTATGCAGCACCAAACATTCTTTTCTGGAGAATCTGACAGGGCTGGGATGGATAACTGTCCATCCTCCCTGCTCTCCCCACTATCTAACTCGCAGAATGCTGGAAGGAATAGCCAGGACACTGAGAGAGGCAAAGAGGCCAGATAAAGGTACATAGAGTGCAACCCCTCTGAGATGGAAATGAAGCTGGAGGAAGAAAAGAGGGTCCACCATCCTTAGAGCCTACTTGTAGGCTACACCTGAGACATAGCGTAAACAAGGAAACATCTGGGAAAATAGGGATGCCTGGCATTAGAGCCTGTTCTCTGGCACTAGACTTACCTTCTGAGTTGAACATTAGTCAAGAACTAGGATATCCAGTTTAAACACAATGGAAAAAGGTAATCAGGTAATTTAGCTTATATAGGGCGTTCTGCCCCTTGGCCAACCCCACCCGATTACCATGTCATTGACTCTGCAGATTTGGAGTACACACACTTCCTGTGGACTTCCAATTCTATGATAGTTCCTCCAAGGGCCACAAAAAAGTAAAAAACACCACCACCTGATGGAGGGTCCAAGTCAATCCATTTATTGGCAGGAGCCTACCTCAGACCAAACCTTCAATTTCAACCCTAACATGAAGCCCCCTCAGGGCCATGAGCTCTTCTCATTGGCCCACTCCCATTCTTTTTAAAGTATCCTGTTTTTTCTCTTTCAAATAAATTAATTTATCCTGCTGCTACTATTCAGGGTCCTGCTCACTGCTTTGCTTAGGACCTCAACAACTGGGACAAGACCCCCCAGCCCAGTAACAGAAGGATGGCCGAATACGAAAATGTGAAGACAATTTATTATTTTCTGGGATCATCGTAAATTTTCTTAATCTACTCTACTGTAACATTGGATTTTTTGTGGTATTAGAATGGTACAGTAAGACTATACTTTCAGGGATCACTTCTATAGTTGGAAGGTACAGTGACACTTGCTTTTATAATTTTATTCATGATATAAACTCTCATTCTGTAATTTACAACTTAGGGTAGGTAGCTGGCTAGGGGAAGAAAGGAAGGTCTCATTATTGGAATCACAGAGGCTTAGCTTCAGTTTTAGCTACTTACGTATTTAATCTTATATCTACTAGTACCAAGGGCTGATCAGACCATCAGCTACCTTGCGGGGGGTGGGGGGCAACAAGGAATAAAAAGAGACAGAAACAATTTTCAAGATATAAAGGGGTGACTGGGAGGAGATCTGACTCTGGTGGACAGACTTGAATTAACTTCACAATTTGCCAGCTTGTATTAGTCAGTGAGTAGCATAGGGGGAAAAGTAGCAGGCATTTCATGGAACAGCAGCCAGAGAGACTGGGTGGATACGGATTAAATTAATGAGGAACCAGATTTTTTTTCTACACCCAAATGCCTGTATGTTGACTGTTCAGCAGATGCTGTCTTGTCTCAGGAGTGTCAGGTTATCAGTATTCCACCCATAGGTAGGGGGCATGTGACCTTCCCCAGGGCAAGATAACACCTGCCTAGAGACTGCAAGATCTGAATTACATAGCCTAGTCTCCAACATACTAGAACTCAGCTATTTAGAGATTTTTATTATCATGTGAAGCTTTTGGATACTGCACCAAACCAAAATGAGTATTTCAATAAAAATGGATATTTTCTTAACAAGAAGGAGATCCAACTTGAAACTGGGCTGAAATACTAGATCCCGCTCCCCTAAACTCCACCCTTGAAAAATTCTAAATTAAGATTAGGAACAGAAATATTTAGGAAGGAGAAAGACTCTAAACTAATCTTCTAGTATTTGAACATGTCCCCCATGTTTATATGCAAAAAAAAAATTAATCCTCAATGTGTCAGTATTAAGATATGGGGAAATAAATGTAACTCCCAACCTACTAGATGTCAGATACATTGAGTCTGTCTTCCCCAAAATTGAAGAATGAATTCTAAGGAATGTCTATTAGTTAAAAGCGGTATTTATTGACAGGGATATTTGTTGAAATACTTATTGAGAGAGATCGCTCCTGAGAGATGGGAGGGACCCAAAAATGTGTTGCCAACAAGTCCATTTGTCAAAGGAAGGTTTATAGAGCAAAATGTCAAGGTAGGGGCAATGTGGGTCAAAACTGTGATCAACCAATAAGATTACAAGTATAGCTGTTTGGGTAATATTGATCCAGTGGGCAAGCAGGTCACGTAGAAATGTACATGGAAAGAACGAAGACCTTTTTAGGAAGGGATGGTTCAGAAGGTCTTAGTCACCCACCAGGATAACTGATATTTATCTAGCCTTTATTGGACCAGGTGATACCAATCAGCTTATACCCTGGGGAGCTATGTAGGACTGGTCATTCTGTCTTTATCTTGAGGTATGGCCTCCAACAGATGCACCTGCACTGACCCCCTCAAAGGCCTAGCCCTCTCTAACTGCCTATAATATTTCTACTTACCTTGGTTGTCAATAGCAGCGGAAGCTTTAAGAGATGATTAGGCTTTGAGGGCTCTTCATGGATAGAGTGGGTTCATTACAGCAGGAGCGGGGTCCTGATAAAAAAGATACTTTGGTCCTTTTTTCCCATTCTTTCTCCCTCTCTTCTAACTTTCACCACAGGATGGTGCAGAATGAAGGCCCTTCCCAGACACAGGTCCCTTGATTTTAGGCTTCCTAGCCTCCAGGTCAATAAGAAATAAGTTTCTGTTCTGTATGAAGTGCTCAGTCTGTAGTGTTCTGTTATAGAAAGACAAAATGGATTAAGACACACGCATCTGGATTTTATCTGAAGAATCAAAGATACTATCGACATAAAACAAGGTATCATGAGAAATGAGTTGCTCAGAGGTGTGTTTGATATTTTTAAAAGAAGGCAGTTCTGAGATAAGAATGAGGAAGGAAGATGAAAGAACCTTTTATTTTTAATCAATGGTTTCTTGTTGTGTCCAAGATTAAGTCTTATAATTTATTTTGATGCTTGAAAAACCTGATTTTGGAAATCTGAGATCACTTTCTCCTTTTCCTTTGGCTCGTGTTCCTGCTTGTCAACAGATTTCAGTTGAATGGTCTTGCCATTGTTCATCCATCTGGATCAGCTCAGCTCAGAATCTAAACCTTTACTAATTCTAAGAGATTATTTTTCTGTAGCTGCTGCAGTATTTCCATGGTAACCGTTATGGTGCAGCCAGGGAAACCTTAAGAAAAAAATCAAACAGCACCCTGAGGTACAAGTTAAACATCAGATATTTACATGAAACAGAGAACGGCCGTGTTATTTCATGATGGATGTCCTAAGGAGCGAAAAATTTGATGTTTCTTCATGAGCTTCTAGTTCTGCCTCATATAAAGCAAATCAATTACTTTCTACAACAAGTTGTGAAGAAAGTGATAAGGTTTATCCATCTTCAGAAAAAATCCACAGGGACACAGTTGTGTATGTACTTTGAGAGGAAGTAATACATCAGGACAGAATTTAATGAGGCAGAATCCATTTTTTCTCATGAGTCTTCCACCAGACACATTAAACATTTTTGTTGAATTGCTGCACTTAAAAAGGAAGTTCAGAAAGAGGCAGCTGTCCTATATTCCTTATCCCCATCAAGAAGGTAACCTGCATCTTGAGCCACTTGCCAAGTCAGAAATCCAGACCAGTATACATCCCTCCCTGTCTCCTTCCAATCTAGAGAATTTTTCTATTTTTCAATGATAGTCTTGGCCCTCTCTGTCTGTCTTCATTCCTTTCCACCTTCTTCCCCAAAGGCCTTACAATGATTTTCAAAAGCAGCTGAATCTCAACTACTGTGGTAAACCAACTGATTCTCTGCAGCTATCCATGTTCTAACCCCTGCAGCTGGCGAATGTCGTCCCTTCCATGGTAAAAGATACTTTACAAATAAGATTGGATTAAGGAGTCTGACATAGGGAGATTCTCCTGGATTATCCAGGTGGGCCTACTAGAATTATAAAGCAGGACTCGGAATAGTCAGATAGTAGAAACAGATATGGTGATGGAAGAGGTTCAAGTAGTGTAAGGAAGGGGGTCATGAGCCAAGGAATGTGTGTAAACTATTGAAACAGAACAAGACAAGAAAACTGATTCTCTTCTCAGAGCTTCCATGAAAAATACCCAGATCTTTCAATACCTTGCTTTTTGACTTACTTGAGACTGATTTTAGACTGTGTATGGTTTTGTTCTAATTATAATAATTTATTTTGTCTATTCTGTTCCTAATTTGAGAATGCTTTGTCTTGTCTTTTATGAGCCTTGTTTACAGTAATTTCCATAGAAACTGCACATAGCTCACCTTTATTCCAATTGATAGTCTAGTCTGCCTAATTTGATAATGCTTTGTCTTTGCTTTTATGAGCCTTGTTTACAGTAATTTCCATAGAAACTGCACATAGCTCACCTTTATTCCAATTGATTGCCAATAAAAGTCAGTGCCTGGGACTGGACAGCACTTTTGTCAGTTGCTCCGGCATTGGTCATTCTGGCACCCTGCTTTCTCTCTCCTACTTCTGTCTTTTAGTTTTATTTCTCAGGCTTACATCCAATACTGGGCAGGGTACTGGACCCTAACTGCAGGGGTCTCCAGGAGCAGTGGGATTGTACTCTCTTTGTATTTAGGTAATAGGCATGGAAGTATTTAGGGATAAATAGCCATTCTGTCTGCAATGTATTCTCAAGTAGTCGATTTCCTATAAATATTAATAAAATGTATATGTAACAATGAAGAGAATGATGACACAAGCAGGATAAAGTCAGTTTGAAATTAATTAAATACAAAATAGGTACATATGAACTGTAATCCAGATATCACCCTTATAGGCTATGCTGTTTGGAATCAAAATTATATAAATAAAGACTTTAATAATTTCACTAGAGGGCCGGGGATTTAGCTCAGCAGTTTGGTGGCCTGCCTTGCAAGCACAAGGACATGAGTTCAATCCCCGGTACCAAAATAATAATAATAATAATAATTTCACCAGAAATGTGACTGCAGCAAGCATTTTTTGTGATTTTGGCAGCCTTTACCAAAGACTGACAGGAATACAAAAGTGAGACTGGTTAATATTTGCATTCTGCTCCAGACACACAATTCCCCACACACATATATACAGAGTCTCTCTGCTGCACACTCACGATCATACTCATGTGTGATGGTTGCCCTCGCCTCTCTCCCTCCAGACCCAGCCTTTCCAGCCCAGAAAGATAAATTGTTTCTCACTTGCCTCTACAGGTAAAGTAAACCAAGAGATGAAGACAGTTGAGAACATGATCCTCTTCTTTGACAGTGTATAAAGGAAACCTCAGCAGGACATTATTACCATCACTCTTCTATTTTCAACAAACAGCATCAGAGATGCTTGCTATCATTTTAAAGTCTCAAATCTGTAAATCCAGTACTCCAGAGGTTGCTCCTTCATTGTATTTTATTTACAATGTGCTTCAGGAGGTTTTTTCAACCCTTGGCCTTTCTACCCTTCACTAGAAAAGTATTGAATAGATACTGTCTTATTTCCAGGGAAAGACACCAAAAGTATAAGAGTAAGAGCTATAGAAGATCATAATTTAACATAAGAACAATGGGCTTATTTACTGCATGGTCTATGTGAAATTTTATGAACAGAAATTCCTATTTTTCTAACATCATTCCTGGTAACTTTCACTTCTCCATGGTTGACAGCTATGCCTCTTTCAGTGGGTCCATGGCATTTTTATTAAATTCAGTGATGCTCTAAAATCTGTGAAAGTTTCATCTCCCTACTTTCTGCCACTAAATCAAAATTAAAATATTTGGTACTTTTCTTATGATGTGAATGTAGATAATCAAAAGTAAATTTGCAAGGCCAGTCATGGTGGCACACGCCTGTAATCCCAGCACTCGGGAGGCTGAGGCAGGAGGATCGCTGTGAGTTCGAGACCAGCCTGGGGTACATAGTGAGTCCCATGTCAGCCTTAACTGCATAGTGAGACCCTGTCTCAAAAAATACCAAAACAAAAAAGTAAATTTGTTTTTTTTTGTTTTTTGGTTTTTTTTGGTTTTTTGAGACAGGGTCTCACTATGTAGTTGAGACTAACCTGGAACTCACTATATAGCTCAGGCTGGTCTCGAACTCACAGCGATCCTCCTGCCTCAGCCTCCCGAGTGCTGGGATTACAGGCGTGCATCTCCACAACAGGCCAAGAACTTCTTATTTTTGGTACCGGGGATCAAACTCAGGTCCTTGTAGTTGTGAGGCAGGTGCTGGAACCACTTAGCCAAATCCTTGGAACGTAAATTTGCATTTTAGAAAAAAAAATCTTTGCATAGAAGAATGAAGAAAGCAAATAAAAATGACAATTACCAATGCATAATTTATCAGGTACTTACTAAAGGTGCTACTTAATATCGTTATCTGTGTACCATCTGACTGCATGACATGCATAATAAAATAGAAACAGATATGAAATACCTAGCTAATTAAAGCTCTGTTTTCTATTCATAATGTAATGATTTGGTGAATTGAACTCTTCTGCAGATGACTTTTATAAAATCTGAATAAAATATATATAGGCAGCAAAAAAACCACTGCAGGGGGCACACATTGGAGAACAGCTTATTCGTCGTAAAATATGACTTTTTAAACCTGATCTTATTCTTCAATCACTACAGCTATGAAGTAGCAAATTATAGCTATGTAATATAAGCATGTGATGGTAGAAGAAAGACAGCTGGAAAATTAAGGAGAAATGTGAAAAGCAAGAGAGAAGAATGACTGATTTTTAAAATCTGAGTACAAAATTTTCCCAATCCCTGGTTGACTGCTAAACTCATTCCTGAGCAATACCCAGAAAGCAGAAAAAAACAAAACAAAACAACAGAAAAGTGATGAGAGTTCTTGTCAGAAAGGTAAAACTGTACTGGGTGAGATTTATGTGTATGTGTGTGTGTGTGTGTGTGTGTGTGTGTGTGTGTGTGTGTATGTGTGCGTGTGTTGAGGACGGTGTCTCAGTGTGTCCAATTCAGGCAGCTCAAAGCAAAAGCCTTACTTGTTTGAGGTATCAGAGCCCGGAACTGCAGGAGCAGCTTGAAATTTAGAGGGGAAGTGAAGAAGTAAGGAAACAGGGAAAATAACCCCAAGAGCCGAGCACAGTTTCTGCTCAAATGCATCATTCTAATTTCCTCAGACGCTGGGAAAACACTCTAGAACCAGTCTTAACAAAAAACGAGAAGCTTGTGACAGGGAGAAAATCAACAAAGGTATAAGCTGCTGCAGCAGACACAGTTTGACACTGACATTTGAGGCAAAAATCTATAAAATGGTTAATAAAACAAAGATTTGGCTGCATGCAGTGATACACGCCTGGAATCCCAACACTCAGGAGGCTGGGGCAGGAGGATTGCCATGAGTTCAAAGTCAGCTAGAGCTACACAGTGAGTTCAAGCTAGCAGGAGCTATACAGCAAGACTCTTCTGTGACCCCCTTCACAATACCAGCAATCCTCAGAAGGAAATAACAGAATTCAAAGTTGCCACAGTATAGTATCCCCAATACCCAGCATTTGCCCAGATTTATTAGATAGTCAAAGAAAAAGGAGCACAATACATCTGGAATGACTGCTTTCATGTAGGGCAAAGGAACTTCATGACAAAAAGCATTACTAGAGACAAAGAGGTCCTGAGGATAAAGAACAAACATGAATGTATATGTACCTAATAACAGCAAAAAATACATTAAAAATTCTACAACTA